TGAAATTGTTTTCCCTTTTACTCCGGATCAACAATCAAATATCTTTTCTTGAATTATGAATAGCACGAATGGATTGAAATATTTAATTAAATTATCTCAAAATAAACCTTTATTTCGGTGCAATATTGAAATTAACTTGAATTCTTCATAACCTCTGAATAGTTGGTGACCCAACGGGACACGAGTTGTCTAGTATATATATTAACTCTTTAGTAATTTGACCTATAACATATTACTTTTTATCTTTTTCGACAACCACACGCGTAATTTCCTACACAGTTTTAAGAGTATATATATTCTAAGAGGTTTTCTCCTTTGCCACTGTATTAAGATCTAGGAGTAAGTATCTTCCTTCAGCTATTGTATCAAAAGTTAGAGTTCTTTTTCTGTTTAATTGTAGAATCTAGGGCTAACTTTTTTCACATTATAACCGAACTTAGGGGATTGTTCCTTTATCATCATATTATAATCTTAATTGAAAATTGAGAATCTCCTTCCTACTACTGTGTAAGAATGGATAAGGCAATTGCCTATTTCCACCTATTAAATTATTTTAAAATTTTAAATGATTCATTCATTTCGAAACATTATTTAAAATCTTGTAGAAGGTTTCGAGTAATAGGTAAACGTGGTGGTAACCAATATTTTATTTGTGGTGCCCCCTGATGAAAAAAATAGTGTTTCGTTAGAGTCAGAGTTCGTAATAAATAATATAAAAGTAGCTTTTAAAGTAGTTGCATTACTTTATCATGTTTCATTAACCATCCTTGACGAGAAATCTTCTTGTTTAATTGATTAAATGCTAAAACATTCCTCTTTCTTTGTGATAAATTACTTAATTATTGTTCAAATATATCATATTGGCATCCTAGCTTACTTAATACTTGTTCAACATTCCTTTTTGCTTCTGAAAGTCACTTTGAAAGTGATGGGCTAAGATGCCAGAAAGTAAAACTAGACTATAATGAAAACAGCAAAACCATTTATTACAGTTGGATCGTAGCCTTGGGCTGATCATTTTCAACGCGGAACTAAGTTAGAAGAGCATCACGATAATGATGATGCGTTTCCATAGTGACGATAAAGGATTCTTACGACTAACATTAATAGCAAAAAAAAAACCATATCTCTTAGAGTATCAGTCCAATAAACTCTTTTTATAGTGGATAGAATCCATTTCTAGAAGTTTTTGTTTTAGATTTTGGTATATTTCCATTATATCATAAACACTCGTTATTGTTTTTCTGCGGCTTGAAAACCATACTATTATCATCAAATAAATTAAGAGATTTTGAAATAAAATAGCTCAAATGATGTCCAGCTCCTGGTGGCAGTTTTATACATTTTGTCGCACAATAAACTACAATGTATCAGGAATACGTTTTGTTACTTTCTAAATGCAAAAATTCAGACATTTGTTTTTCAGAAGTTTTCTCCTTATACAAATTATACGTTGAGGAATATTAATGGATGCATATGTAAACGTTAAAGACCGTTCTTAATCTATTACAATTATTACACTATATAATAGTAGTTTCATTTATGAACTCTATGTATCTCGAGTTTGTTGCGGAGAGTTTATGTGTCTCGAGTTTGTTGTGGAGAGTTTATGTGTCTCGAGATTGTTGTGGAGAGTTTATGTGTCTCGAGATTGTTGTGGAGAGTTTATGTGTCTCTAGTTTGTTGTGGAGAGTTTATGTGTCTCGAGTTTATTGTGGAGAGTTTATGTGTCTCGATATTGTTGTGGAAAGTTTGTGTCTCGAGTTTGTTATGGAGAGTTTATGTGCACACTTAGTGTTTTTGCAGAAAATATTATATATTGCTACAATCTCAAAGAACAATAATAATCTGGTAGAATACGAGCATAAGGATAGATAACAAGCGATAAAATATAACTTATTTTACATTTCTAAGAGTTTACAAAATTCTAAACTCACCTTTGCGGGACGCTTGGAAACTGTCTTGATACTCAACCTGTTCGACATCAGCTGATAGTCGAGTGTTGGGCAGCAGAGAATGATCCGCATTAACTCGGTCTATAGCGTAGCGGAATGCTGTCTGCAATACCTCATCACCATACTCGAAAAGCCCGCCTGTAATATAGACAAAATAGTCTTAATAGGATACTCATCGGCAGTGTTATTAGACAGAGTAGTCTAACAAGGTATTTACCGGCTGTATTATAGAAAATGTAGTTTTAACAAGGGGGGATTAACAACTGAAGATTTCTAGGTGAAAAGCTAACCTTAAAAAGAGCTTCAGCGGTTTTATACAATAACTAGGCTTAGCACGGCCTGGCGGTTAGGACATTCGACTAGCAATATGTGGTTCCTGGGTTCGAATCCCATCACCGAATATACTCAACCGTAGGAGCATTGTAATATGACAGTCAATCCCACTATTTGGCGGCGGGTGATGTGGACTGGCTGTCTTTCATCTAGTTTATCACTTCTCACTAGGTACAACTATCGCAGAAAACCCTCAAGTAGTTGTGTACGAAATTCATGAAACAAACACACAATAAGTAAATGTTTATATTCCAGACTCCAGCATATTTAATACGAGCTTCAGCAAGTGAAAATCTCATTCTGACTGGTGAGTCACTTGAAGGATTTTCTTACGTTATTTTACAGTAAACAATGATAAATGATTAGTTTTTGTGTAATAACAGTCAAATTGCGTAACACACTAAAACACACGTTTTATATAGAGTTACATTGAAAAATCTATGTTCACATTTTGAATATACAAAATCCTGACATAATTTTCAAAACTTTATTATATGTATTCGGAAATACGCACATTTAAAACGACGTGCTATTATCTTTCTATGCAGACGACATAGAACAGTCAAAATCTATCAAAAACCTGTAAGACGACACGTTATCTTTGTAAGCGACATAGAACAGCCAAAAGTTTCAAATAAATCTGTAAGACGACGTGTTGTTATCTTTCTATGCAGATGAAATAGAACAGTCAAAAAGTTACAAAAATATCTGTAAGACGACATGTTCTACGCAGATAAAATAGAACGAAAAAAATAATGTAAAACGACGTAGTTTCTTTCTATCCAGAAGACATAGAAGAGTCAAAAAGTTTCAAAAATATGTAAGACGACGTATTGTTATCTTTCTATCCAGAAGACATAGAAGAGTCAAAAAGTTATCTTTCTGGGCAGACGAAATTGAATAGTACAAAGTTTCAACAAATGTGGTACTGAAAATGACTTTTGCCCTTTAAACCATAAATATAATATAATAATAATAGTTTAGATGCGAAAAATTATAATGTCAGTAAGGTCAGATGTACAAATCCTTGCTCGTAAATACATATCTATACGTGTAATAACCAGCAAAAATATGCGACGTGAAATTACAAATTTAAATTACCTAATTCTACGTGGAAAGCTTTAAATAAAGTTGTTACGTGAAATTAGCACATAGCTTTCACTAATTTATAGGGCTACATACCGGTTTTCGAGAAGTAACTACAATTGAAATGACAAATTAACTTTTAAGTTTGTTTGTAATTAAGCACAAAGCTACACAATGGGCTCTTTGTGCTCTGCCCACCACGGGTATCGAAACCCAGATTCTAGCGTTGTAAGTCCGCAGACATACCGCATAACTTTTAAGAAGTTAATCAACTCAATTATCATTTTTAAATTTTCAATACATATCTGTGTGTAGAGGCACAATATATTCCAGAATTCGAAGATTAATTAACTTTCTAAATAAAAGAGAGTTGTAAGATGTTATAGTATTATTCAAAATATGAATGTAAATTCAGGGTGCCCCCAAAAATGTACCTATTCTCTAAGTTATGCAACTTCTGTATACCTATTCTAAAAGTTATATTTTTGTTTCTGATAATATTGCAGGATGTCTAAAAGTAAATCCAAAACTACTGACGAATTACAGCAACAGACCACAAATGCTTTTCATCGAATAAGAGTTGAGCATTGTGCAACAGCATGTCAGACACTCCACTGTGGATGTAATGTTTATTTGAATGCTGTTGGAGCCTAGTTTGAGCATCTCAGATGATGCAGAAGTGTATATACATTTAATTTGTTGTATAAAATATTAATAAAGATGTTTTTCTGGCTTGTTGGGTCATTTTCTATAGTAATATGAGCATTCAAAATGTGGGTACATTGTTTTGGGACCACCTGTATATTTCTTCGTGTTAATCAGTAATAACACTTAATTCCTAGTGGCATATATCATTTTGACACAGCAACATTAATTTATTGTTCACTTTTTTTCTATTGTTCATACACTATCTTTTATCATCTTGTATCTTTAAAGCCTGCTCCTCCGTGGCTCAAGCGGTAAGTTTGGTGGCTTATCAAGTTAACAATTGAATTTTGATACCCGCGATGGACAGGGCACAAATAGCCCACTGTGTATTTTGTGCTTGAAAAATCAAACTAAGAAACTTGAAAGCCCCTTTGGTGACCCTGCTTGAGGACTTACACTGCTAAAAATTCAGTTTCGATTCTTGAGGTGGGTACTGACCAAATAACCCATTGTGAAATTTTGTCTTTAAACAAATCCAACAAACAAACAAATGCACATGTTTACAATTAATTTTAAATCCACACTAACGGAACAATGCCAAATTTAAATGGAAACTATTTTTTCACATTTCACATGTCCTCTTTGATCCATGTGAAAGTCGAAAGTAGTTTCTATTTAAATTTGGTATTGTTTAGTTAGTGTGGATTTAAACTTTATTATAACTTATTTTATGCGGTATTGTGTATTTACCTTTTTATAATGTACATGTAATTTGAAAAAAGTGTTTAAAAGATGCAATTAGCTATTTAGTTACTGATTAAGTTTTTATTTAAAGGCATTTTAAACGTTTATTTTATGGAACTGCATATCGCAAACTGCGTGAAACGACAGTCAAAAACAGCTTGCATTAATATTGAGTTCACTTTTACGAAAATGTCATTTTTAATGTGTTTTTTATTATTTTAAGGTTATATGATTGTTGTATTTCAGTTATATTGATTTAAAAATCTTTTTGATTCTGAAATGGTTATTCGTAGTGAGTCGGAGTGGCCTAGTTGTTAGTGTGCCCAGACTGGCCGGGGCGGCCTAGTTGTTAGTGTGCCCAGACTGGCCCGGGCGGCCTAGTTGTTAGTGTGCCCAGACAGGCCGGGGCGGCCTAGTTGTTAGCTGCCCAGACTGGCCCTGGGCGGCCTAGTTATTAGTATGCCCAGACTGGCCGGGGGCGGCCTAGTTGTTAGTGTGCCCAGACTGGCCCTGGGCGGCCTAGTTGTTAGTGTGCCCAGACTGG